ACCAGAAGCAGAGGTGTGACTCAGGATAGACCAACCTTGAGTGAAAATGCTAAGGGAAAGTGCCCAGGCCCTGAGCTCAAGCCCCAAGGATGGAGGGAGGAAAGGAAAGAGGGAAAGGAGAGAAGGGGGGAAGAAGGGAGGGAGGGAGGGACCATTTATTTCTAATGTGCTTAATTCTCCAAGGGTCTATTACCAGGAAAGCATAAACTATTTCAAAATTCTAGAAAAGAATTACATGAGGCACTCAATAATTTTTTCCAAATGAGTTTTCCAATCTTAACTATTATCTCAGAAATAAACCAAAGAAGGGGCTGGGAAGGTGGCTCTAGTGGTAGAGTGCTTGCCTTGCATGAATGAGGCCCTGGGTTCGATTCCTCAGCAGAAAAAGCTGAAGTGGCACTGTGGCTCAAGTGGTAGAGCACTAGTCTTGAGCTGAAGAGCTGAGGGACAGCATCTAGGCCAAGAGTTCAGGCCCCACGACCAACCAAAAAAAAAAAAAAAAAACCCTAACTATACTACCCAATTCTTTCTTCATAGCATCATAAAAATCTCAGCAATTCTACTAGTAAAGTATAGTAGTATCTGAACATATAAAATACAGCTAGCCCAGAAATACAACCTTAACCAAGGAACCAAAGTTTCAACATGATGCAACTTGAGGAAGAATCAGACAACAGGATCTCAGCAAAGGAAACTGCCTGGAACAGGCCAAATCATTACACAAAGCACACATAAGCCCTTACCAAATGCCTTACTGCTATTAAAAAAAAAAAAAAAACCAGTCTAAAAAATGATTCAAATTTCCTTCTACCTAGCATCTTGTGTCTGAGTATTAAGATCAAAGAAAACCTTTCAGGGGCAAGAAGAAAAAAAAAACCCTAGGATGTCAGAATAAATTAAATTACACCAGCTCTTCAGTGACTAAAAAGTAAACCTGCCTAACTGGTGTTCAAACCAGCCAAGAGTCATCTTTCAAGCTCAGAAGGTGTTTAGAAATTAAAGATACAACATCTCACCTTTGAATAAAAATAAAGTTTTATCAACATCAAAAGGAAAAGGAAAATGGAATCCAACTCCAGAAACTTTGAAGTTGTGCTTTTAAAACCATAGGATGCTTTTGTATTTTGCCAGTACTGATTTGAACTCAGGGCCTTGCACTTGGCTTGCTTTGCTAGCTCAGCTAGTGCTCTACCACTGGAATCATGGTTCCAGTCCAGCTTTTTGGCTGGTTATTCTGAAGATGTACTCTTCTGCCAGACTGGTATTGAACTATGATCCTCCAGACCTCAGTCTTTTGAGCTGCTAGCATCAGCTTGCAATGTTTCTTCAATACAAAGTGAATATGTACACATAGCCTGAAGCATACTCCTCCAAAGAACACACACTACATTAGATGTAGTGCATTTTTTGACGAACCCCTTAATGCTGCATTTTTTCAATTATTATAGACAAAGCTACAAGAAACTTTTCTTACTTTTTGTTGACAAAGATTTTTTTCAATAAAAATTAAAAGGCAATAAATAGGAGTTTTGTTTTGTTGCCCACACTGAGGCTTAAACTGAGGGCCTAGAATAAACTGAGGGCCTAGAACTTACTCAGCTTTTTCAAGCAAGGCTGGCATCCTACTACTTGAACCACAGTGCCACTTCCGGTTTTCTGGTGTTAACTGCAGATAAGTCTCACAGACCTTCCTGTCTGGGCTGGTTCTGATCCATGATCCTCAGTTCGCAGCCTTTTGAGTAGCAATGATTATTGGCCTGAGCCACCAGTGCCTGGTAAGATTGTCTTAATAGGGCTGGGAAGGTGGCTCAGTGGTAGAGCGCTTGCCTTGCATGCCTGAGGCCCTGGGTTCAATTCCTCAGCACCACATAAGCAAAACGAAAAAAAGCTGGAAATGGCGCTGTGGCTCAAGTGGTAGAGTGCTAGCCTTGAGCTGAAGAGTGGAGGGACAGCGCCTAGGCCCAGAGTTCAGGCCCCACAACCGGATCCCCCCCCCAAAAAAAAAAGGTTGTTTTAATAGCTTCTTTTCGCTGTTGTGCTTTTAAAAGCTACAGCCTGAGGCACCTACCTTATATATTAAACTTATTCCAGTACTGAATTTGCAGCCTGCAAGATAGACTGAGAGGACAGCTTTCAAATCATTTTCTCACCAAAACCAGCAGGACAGTCATCCAAGTCACTTTCTCAGGGTTTATCTCTTGCTCCTGGCAAGAGATAAAAATCCCTGACTGAGCCGGGCGCTGGTGGCTCACGCCTGTAATCCTAGCTACTCAGGAGGCTGAGATCTGAGGGCGCTGGTGGCTCACGCCTGTAATCCTAGCTACTCAGGAGGCTGAGATCTGAGGATCGTGGTTCAAAGCCAGCCCCGGCAGGAGAGACCGTCAGACTCCTATCTCCAATAAACCACCAGAAAATCGGAAGTGGCACTGTAGCTCAAGTGGTAGAGCGCTCGCCTTGAGCTGAAGAGCTGAGGGACAGCGCCCAGGCCCAGAGTTCAAGCCCCACGGCCGACAAAAAAAAAAAATCCCTGACTGACACAGAGATTCAACAATGACATTTTTCCCTCTAAAACTCACAATGTGCCCAAGCTTCTGCTGGAGTACCAGCTAGCATCTACTGCACAACTAAAACAGAGATGGGAAACCTAAATCAAGTCCCACACAGAAGTTCTTAATTCACTGTTTCATCAGCAAAACTTTCCTATAATACACACTACTTAAACCCCAGTTCTGTCACCAGTACAGCTGTGGGTCTCCTGTCCACTGATACAAATACTGCCATTAAAATCAATGTGGTCTAGCCAGGCACTGCTGGCTTACCTAGCTAATCAGGAGGGTGAGATTCAACAAGCTCACCCAACACAGCAAAGGCCATAAGAATCTTAGCTACAGTTAATCACACCCACTCGCCAAAAAAAAAAAAAAAGGCCAGAAATGGCATTGTCACAAGTAGCACTAGTCTTGGACAAAAAAGACAAAGGATAGCGCCTAGGCCCTAAATTCAAGCCTTAGTACTGGCTAGATATACAAACAGTCTGGTTACTGAGAGGACTTTCTCATGAGATATGTATGCATGTTTATTTCATGTGCCCAATTAATATGAACACAAGACACACACAATGGCCTGGACCATGCCCTCTGAAGTCACTCAGCCTGACACAGACTATGACTATTACAGACAACTGGTTGTCTCAAATGCTGCCACACTTAACTACACCTGCAAGCAGTCCAGAGCACCCCAAGAAGTATTCTTCGAATACCCCAACATCACAATAAAACCAGGGATCTTCTCTTTTAATGATGGAGGAAACACATGGATCCAGAGATAGTCATACTTCGTATTATGGAGAGAATTCTACTCCAGACTAAACACCCAGAAACATATCTCCTGAAGGCTTATTCAACATTTTCACAACAAAAATTGTTAATAGTTTTGTTAGCAAGAAATAGGGTTTGATATGGGGCTAACTTTTCTTCTCTCCTTCTGTTTCTTATTAAAAGGGAAAGTACTTTGTAATTTAAATACAATAAAGTAGGTGAAATCTTAAAGCCCCATCCATGTGGAAATAAGTCACAGGCTTAAAAACCCCCAGTGGTTTTATTGGAGGAAAATAATTCACAAAAGTAAAACTAATGCAAACTAATAATAATAAACCAACCAGAACAAAGTAGAGAAGTTTTTCACTGTTTATCCCAACAAGTGGTTTAGCAGGGTTTCTTAGATTCAATAAAAATCCTGGAATTGCTGGAGGCTGGTGGCTCACCCCTTTCTTTAGTCCAAGCTACTCAGAAGGCTGAGATCTGAGGCTCTTAGTTCGAAGCCAGCCCAGGCAGGAAAATCCGTAACTCTTATCTCCAACTAACCTCCCAAAAGTCAGAAGTTCAAGTGAGAGAGCTCAGGGATAGCACCCTGAGTTCAAGCCCCAAAGCACGGAAAGAAAATAGGAAGCTGAGTAGATTTCCACAAACACTTCACTCTGTTTGTATTTTTTTATTTTATTTTCTTGTGCGTATGTTCCATTCCTGAGGCCTGAACTCAGCCTCATGCCCTGTATTGGCTATTTCCACTCAGGCTGGTGCTCTACCACTTGAACCACACCTCCACTTCCAACTGCCAATAGTCCCAAAAACTTTTCCTGCCTAGGCTGGCTTTGAACCGAGATCCTCAGATCTCAGCTTCCTGAGAAGCTAGATTACATGTGCGAAACTCAACTTCTTTAATATCCCATTAGAACTATATACAAAACTTTCTCCTCTCTTCACAGGCAGCTTAAAAACTCAACTCAATAGACAAGTGTCATAAAAACTTAGCAAAGAGGGAGTTGCTATTTCAAACACACACACACAGAGGACCGCACCGGCCAGGAGTATCCTTCCAAACATCACACGACTTTTCCATGCTATCCAAATCATAACCAACAAAGTTTACTTTTAATCAACAGGAAGATAAGAAGCTACATAAAAATTCCGCAAAGGGATCACTTTTCAACGGTGCGTTCCTCCCTTTCCCCCTTTCTCCCCCTCCCTCCCGCAAAACTTCCCACACACTCCGGAAAGCGGTGTTCAGAACAAACCCCACTTTGGGCGTTCACCAAGGTCGGGGGGGGGGGGCTGTAGAGAAAAAAAGGTAACAAACAGCACGCAACCCAAGTTTCTCCCCCACCTCCAGCCCCCGCCCCGTACTTTCCGTGAGGCCCCCGGACTCGCCCCGCAGATCTTGAGGGGCCGGACGGGGCTCTTAGCCCCCACCACCACCACCACCATCACACAAACACGGATTATGAGGGGGCCCGGCCTGGAGGTTTCCGTGCAGCTCCCAGACTCCCCGCAGATAGTGGGGGGCCCCGGGACGGGGCTGGGACTCCCGAGCCCCCGCGGATCGTGAGGGGCCGGGTCAGGAGAGGGCCAGGCTGGGGCTCCCGACATCCCGCAGACCGTGGGGGGCCCGGCCCGGGGAATGGGGGGTGCTCCGGGGCCGCAGGCGGAAGCGCGGCCTGTTACCTTTTCCTGCTCCTCGCGGAGCCGCGCCACCTCGGGGGCGCGCAGGGGCGCCGCTGCCGGTTCGGGGGGCTCGGGATCCGGTGGGGCGGCCATGGCGGGGCCTCAACGAGGCGAACGAGTCCTAAACAAGTGTTTATGGAGGCGGCGTGGAGCCCGCGTGCTCCCCCGCATGCACCGCGCGCCCGGCGCCGAGGAGGCCGCGCTTCTCGTCACCCGAGCCCCGGGGGCCGCTGCTCGTGTCCGGGCTGCCCGAGGCCGCATCTCACACGTGCATACCGCCGGCTTCGAGCCGCAGGCCGGACGCCCAGAGCTCCAGCTGCTCTCCCGTGGAGCGGGACCCCCAAAACACACGCACGCACCCGAGCGTCCTGGAGCGGTCGCACCTCCGGCGCGTCATCCGTAAAGCCCGCCCCTAATCCCGGCCCTAGCCACGCCCCCGCGCAGCGCGCTGATTAGCGCACATACCCGCGCAGGCTCCGCCCCCCTCTGCCCGCCCATACGCAGCACGTTGGTTAGCCACTATGCCCCAATGCTGGCTCCGCCCATATAGTGGCCCCGCCCCCTAGTCACGCCCACACAGGGCCCAGGAGAAAACTGTGGCTCAAATCGAAGAGCACCAGCCTTGAGCAAAAATGCATAAGGACGGTGGCTAGGCTCCTCGCTCTCTTGCTGGCCTCGCCCCCGAGTGCTCCAGGTGGGGGACCCAGTGTCCTGGCCCTGTGTAAACTTCTGGATGTTTCCATTCCCGCCAATACCTGGGCTTGATGTCTCCTGGACACCTTGAGGCACGTGTAGTCAGGGTATTCCAACCACTGAAAGTTGCATCTGGAAGTTAGGATTTAAATGCGTGCTTTGAAGCTGATTCATAAACTCATTTAATTAGCAAACTCAACTCTTTCCTATGCTTTTCTAATGAATTAAAATATGCAATTATATTTTGCATGCATTAATTAGTGCACATATTAAAAGTCCTTTATATATATTAAGTTGCTGCACTAATGCTACTGTTACTACAGGTGGATCCTTTTAAAATAATTTTTGTAGACTGGTAGTGATATAATCCTAGCTACTCAGGGGGCTGAGATCTAGAGGATCAGGGTTTGAAACCAGTCTTTGTAGACAAATCTAAGACACTCTCTCTCCAAGTCACCAGGAAAAAAAATTAAAAAGCTGAGATGGAGGCATGGCTTAAGTGGTAAAAAGCAAGTTGAGTCCAGCCAGGTGTGGGTTGCTCACGCTTGTAATCCTAGCTACTCAGGAGGCTGAGATCTGAGGATCACGGTTCAAAGCCAGCCCTGGCAGGAAAGTCCATGAAACTCTTATCTCCAATAAACCACCAGAAAGCCAGAAGTGGCGCTGTAGCTCAAGTGGTAGAGCGCTAGTCTTGAGCTGAAGAACTGAGGGACAGCGCTCAGGCCCAGAATTCAAGCCCCATGAATGACAAAAAAAAAAAAAAGCAAGTTGAATCAACCCTGAGTCTGAATCTTGTTACCAACAATATGTAAATGTGTGTGTGTGTGTGTGTGTGTTTCTTAAGTAATTGCCTGAACATCTCTACTTAGAACTCCTATACCCACCTTCTCACTCAGCTCTTTGTACAGCTTCTGTGTACACCAGGCCTTGGGTTAATCTTACTGCATCAATGGAATAGACTTTTCCTTATGCAGTGCTTTTTCAAGCATGGAAATGGGTCCGGTTCCTTCAGCTCTGGGTGGAAGTGGAGAGATGGAGGACACCTCCCTGTTGCTTGCCTCTACTTCCCCATCACTGCTGGCCAGCTCCCAAGTCTAAATTTACCATAATTGTATTTGAGCCAAAGAATAAAACAGCATCAGGTACAGGCTCATACCTGTACTCCTCGGAACTCAGGAGACTGAGATTTGAGGATCACAGTTCGAAGGCAGCTTGAATAAGAAAGTCCACGAGACTTTTATCTCCAATGAGTTAGCAAAAAAACCTGGAAGTGGAGCTAGCTGTTGTTCAAGAAATAGAGTGCCAGCCCTCAGCAGCAAAAAAGCTAAAGGTACATAATGTCCTGAGTTCAAACCTCTGTACTGGAACAAACAAAAAAAGACTAAAAGGAAAAGAAGGTACATGGAGAAAATCTTCCATTCTTCCTATGAAGAAAACAAGAGTCATGGAAGAAAAATGATGACAATCTGAACTTTTCTTTTCTTTTTTCTTTTTTTTTTTTGGGGGGGGGTCTGGTCATGGGGCCTGAACTCTGGTCCTGGGCACTGTCCCTCAGCTCTTCAGCTCAAGGCAAGTGCTCTACCACTTAGGCACAGTGCCACTTCCAGTTTTTTTTTTCTGCTTATGTGGTGCTGAGGAATCGAACCCAGGGCTTCGTGCATGCAAGGCAAGTGCTCTACCACTGAGCCACCTTCCCAGCCCCAATCTGAACTTTTCTGAAAATTAAAATGTTTTTGCTCTTGGAAAAATCCCTCTATCAAAATAAAATGGGAACTTATGCACAAGTAAAAATGTTCAATACCTGCTTTGTATACATGATATATAAATTAGACACATATACATACAGATTCATTTATACATACACAGTCACATGTATTTTTGCCCATGATAGATCTCCAGCCACTCAGCAAGAGATCTCAAAACAAAGAGCTGACAATTCCAAGTGTTGACAAAGATTTCAAACCAATGAAACTGGACTGGAGGCATGGTTCAAGTCATAGAGTACCAGTCATGAGCAAGCCAAGCAAGCACTCAAGGTCCTAAGTTCAAGTCCTAATACTTTCATATGCTACTCGAAGTATATAAAATAATATATATTCTTTGGAAAGCTGGATTTTTTACTTTTTGTAAAGTTAAGCACAAATTTTCCATTCCTCCTCTGGGTATAATACTCAGGAGAAATTAACACACACATAGTTTTGGTGAACAGTTTTATTTGTTTATTTTTTTAAGTAGTTGTACAAGGGTATTTTATTTCAATAAGTCAAATTACGAGTGCATGCATCTTGACCAATATCACCCCTACCATTGTTCTCCTCTATCATTCCCAAATGCAGCCATACCTTCACGTTACATAGTTTGTCTTATTACATAATGTACATTGAATATTTGGACCATATTAGCCCACCCTTCCTCTGTCCATGTGCCTTCCCTCCTTTCTTCTCCCTCCTCCACAAAACATGTTCCAGCTTCCTGGTAATTCAGTTTGTTCAACTGTTCATTAGTGGTTCAGGGGAGTTGAGCCATTAGAATCCTCCCCTGAGTATACCATCCTTTAGTCAATTTCTTTGTGTGTTTATGTATAAAACACTGTATATATTACCATGTATGTTTGTATTTTAGATCTAACTTCCACATAGGAGACAAAATGTATCCTCTGTCTCTTTGAGCCTGACTTACTTCACTTAACATAATTTCTTTTCAGGTCCATCCATTTGCCTGCAAATGACATAAATTCTTCCTGATAGATGAGCAAAATTCCAATGTATATGCAATATATATTAGAATATGTACTCCTATATATTCCTATATTTATTCCTATATTTATAAGCATATATATTCCAAAAGCTAGATACATACATACATATGTATGATAGATAGATATAGGTACCTAGATAGAAATTACGTTTTCTTTCATTCATTGAGAGGCATCTGGTGTCTGTTTCTATAAGGTGAATAGTGCAGCAATAAAACATGGCTCTGTGTGTTGCTTTACTTTAACCTGGCTTAGAATCTTCTGGATGCATCCCCAAGTATGGGGGGATCTTCCAAACTGCCTTCCACAATGGCATCACTAGTTTACATTCCCATCAACAGTGTAATAGAGTTCCTTTGAACCCATGTTCTCACCAACACACACATCATCTGCAAAGGCACTACCAACAAGATGATCACTAGACACCTCTGGACATGGCAAGGAGGAGTTTTACAGATATAAAAAGGAGATGATCCTGGATTGTACAAATCTGGCCACATAGACTATAATATGTAGCAAACTTTCCCAGATAGAAGCAGCAGAGTTGGCAGCTGGTCAGGCATAGTGGTGCATGCCGATAGTCTAGGCACTCAGGGTACTAAAGCAGGAAGATCTCCAGTCCTTGGCCAGTCTGGGCTACATAGCAAGAGAAAGGCCAGATTAGGCTCTGCAGCAAGACACAGAACAATAACAATGGCAAGGCCCAGAGTTCAAACCCCAGTAACACTAACAGAGAGGCCAAGACTCTGAGAAAGGGGGAGGGACAAAGAACGAGGAGGAGGAGGGAAGAAAAGAAGGAAGGAAGGAAGGAAGGAAGGAAGGAAGGAAGGAAGGAAAGGAAGAAATTAGAAAGCCTTTGATTCACTGATTCACGGGCAGCCATGAGCAGGACCTGAAGGCACATAGTTGTCTGAGTAAGGAAACAACCTCAGCCTATAAAGAAATCAAACAATCTGGATGCTGGTGGCTCACACCTGTAATCTTAGCTACTCAGGAGGCTGAGATCTGAGGATTGCAGTTCAAAGCCAACCTGGATAAGAAAGTCCGTGAGACTCATCTCCAGTTGATCATCAGAAAGCCAGAAGTGGAGCTGTGGCTCAAGCAGTAGAATACTAGCCTTGAATGAAAAAGCTCCTAGGACAGAGCCCAGGTCCTGAGTTCAAGCCCCAAGACCAGCACCAAAAAAATTTAAAAAAAAAAAAGAATCTAAAAGTGAAAGATTCTACATCTAGGGAATACACAATCAGACTTAAGTAAAATCTACAAAACCCAGACTAACAGCAATAAAGCTTGTTTGCCTTCGCAGCGGCTGGTGGGGTGGGGGGAGAGACAGGAGAGAGGGTAGAGGGGCAGGAGGAAATCTGGGGTGGGCAGAGGGGGCAAGAGAAACGTTCTGTCTCCTACTGAGCACACACATCTGCCAGACTCATCAAAGTGTAGGTTTTAAATGGATGCAGGGTTTTGTATGAAAATTAAACCTCAATTAATTTGATTAAAAAAATAAAATTCAAAGGCATCCAGGGGTGCCTTTTAGAAATTCTTAGAAGAAAGGCATATAATTTTTTTCTGATAGATTTGAGTCTCTCTTTACTTTGATTGGAATGGCACTACATTTCTAGACTAATCTGTAGGGACTGGTTATCATTCAAGAAAGTCCTTCCACTTACGGACAGGATAAGTCCTTTTACTGGAGGAGTGGGGAGCGGGGGGTGGGGGGGGTGGTTATGGGGCTTGAACTCAGGGCCTGGGTGCTTTCCCTGAGCTTTTTTGCTCAAGGCTAGTGCTCTATCACTTGAGTCACACCTTCACTTCTGACTTTTTGGTGGTTCATTGGAGATAAGAGTCTCATGGACTTTCCTGCCCAGACTGGGCCTTGAACTGTGATCCTCAAATGTCAGCCTCCTGGGGGCTGGGAAATTGTCTCAGTGG